TGATGTTGTCGGGGATGTTAGTTAGAAGTAGGATAGAGATAGGGGGGATGTTGGGGGGGCGGGGGGGGGCAGCGAACAGGAACGACCATAGCTCGCGGATCTTCTTCCATATCCAGATTGCTTCAGGGCAGAAGAGGAGGCAGTGGGGGATGTCTTCGGGTGAGTCGTTGCTGCACATTGAGCAGCATGCCGAGCTATCAGGATCAAAATGTGTCCTTCTCTCGTGTAACCATTGGTTGACTGGCAGGGCTGCATGTGCTATTAGCCATGGCATACTACAGATTCTACTTGGTCTGATGAGAAGGTACTTGGTCGATGTGTTGGTGATTGGGGTCGTGGTATCTAGGTTCAATATGGTTCTCCATTTCTCTGCCAGTCTTGAATTCAGGTCCCTGGTTTGTAGTCCGAGGTTGTACCCGAACTTTACGTCATATTCTGTTATCCTTCTCGATTTACTGGCGGCGCCCAGATCCCAGATCCATTCCTTTGGGTTGAATTCCAACTCGTTGATGCTAAGTTCCGGCTGGAATATAAGCCAGGGTGTCTTGTGAGAGACTCTAACCTTCCTGAGAAGGTAGGTTTCTATTTGTTCGTTCTGTGGTGTTTTGTTTAGGATCTCTAGTTCAACATGATTGAGGATTCAATTTTCTAGTTTGTCATGATTCGATTTTCTAATTTGTCATGATTTGTGATGAATTCTGCCTATCTCATGACCTTGGTTAGTTTTATGATTTTGTCTTAAACTTTCAAACTTTGTCATGATTTTCCTTGTTCCAATTAGTGTTTCCTGATAAGGCTTTTCTCATTGGAGACTGTTAGCAAATCTTCTTAGGTGTGTCTGTGGCTGTCATAGTTGCGGATTTGCAGTTTTTCGATGCCAGAACGATGCTGGTCGGTGTTGGGGTGTTGCCCTGTAACCTGCGAAGCAGGAGCATGAGGCCTGGTAGAGAGATCGGGGGATGCTTGGGGGTGGGCATCTCACGGAATAATCAAAGGTTGCTGCTTGGAGGATGTCAGCCGGAGCTGGGGTGAGTTGTGTTGCCCTGTAACCTAGCGGTGGGGGTGTGAGGCTGGGCAGACTCAGGCAGAGAGTATGACTGTGTTGGCGAGCCTGAGTAGGGTTGTTATAGTCTCCTGAACTAGGTTTTATATTTTTATTTTTTTAACAGGTAGCCAAAAAATATATGATTAAGGGAAGCAGATTACCGCACGGACGAGTGGGAAGTTCGTAGGGGGGTGTAACAGGGGAAGGGCCTTAGTCTTCGTAAGTAGGTCAGAAGGACGTGGTTGGGACGACGCAGGCCGGTGCTGGAGCGTTGCTCTGTAACCTGGGGGAGCGTGAGGCTTGTGGAGCTCTGTCGAGGGAGGAAGGCAGAACCACCACGTTCGACGCAGCCGTTGCTGGGGTTTTATCCCTGTCACCTAGGGGCGTGCGGCTAACGGGATTGTCGAGGGAGGAAGGCACTCCTTGCCGTCCAGACCAGGCTGGTCGGTAAGCGGGGCATGGTGGTGCCCTGTAACCCTAGCAAAGGGGGTTATCAGACCAGCAGCGTTTAGGTTCGAAGTCTGATCTCGGGGACTTTGTTTTTTTCAATTGTTGCGTGGGAAGTTTGGTAGTCGATGGTTTCGGTTCGGATTTTTTGCTTTCAATTTTGTTGTGTGTCACTCATGTCCTATCTCGTTTAAAAAAAAAAAAAAAAACATGCAATGTGTTCGGATATGGCTATCCTCTAGAGGTTGTGATTGTTCTCGGTAGTTGTGGTAGAACACATTTAGGCTCTTGGGACTCCTTGCAATTTCCTTGAGGCGATTTTTGATGTTGTCTTATTCGTGGACCTGCGGTTGTTCGATGCCAGAATGACCCGGTGCTGGGGTGTTGACCCTGTAACTTGTTGACAGCAGGAGCTTGAGGCCTGGTAGAGAGATTTGGGAATGCCTAGGGGGGGCATTTCACAGGACGATCAAGGGTTCCTATCGAAGACGATGCTGGCCGGAGCCGGGGTGAGTTGCTTTGCCCCGTAACCTATAGCGGGGGTGAGAGGCTTGGTAGAGCTTGGTAGGGTATAAGACAGCGTCCGAGGACTTCGAGGGTGTTAGGACCCTTTGGCGCTTTACAGTCTTTGAAGACAATTGCTGGGATTTTCGCTGGTGGATAGTCTCCCAAATTTACCTCAAACTTACCTCAAATTTACCTCAAATAGCCTTGATTTTGGTGATAATTACCGGTCATACTACCTGGCATCGAACAACCGCAGATCCATGAATGTATCAGTATCAAACAGCCTAAAGCGAGTTGCTAGAAGTCCCCAGAATCCTATTTGAGCTAAGACAGTGTTGGACAGCTTTAGAGAGTTTTGTTTGGGAGTCCAGGGGTTCTGAGCATTCGAAAAGAGGTCAGTAGTCATTCATAGTTTTTTAACTTCCTTTAAATCTCTTGAATTTCTTCAATAGTTCTTACTACTTCTTAGATTGATTCTCAGCCGAAGCAGGGTAATGGCCCCTGTGTCTCAAACGACTTGTGTAACTCTATATGGGACGCTGGGCCCGGTTCCCAGCACGTGCTGCTCCCCACAAATAGACTGGAGAATTTGTCCTCACGAAATCCATAGACAAGGAAGTGCTAATCGTGCACGGAAAAATAATTGTGACATAGTATAAGCTCAGCGTGCGACACAAGACCAACTCGCCTACCATCTTCACCCGGATAGAACACCCGGTAATTATCGCCGTATCTGGGCTGAAAGTTGTGCCAAATACTGCTATAATGTTACATCTTCGACGCACACGGGCCCTACCGGACCCGACTTAGGGTCGGAGGGACACATCAGGGCCTAAAGGCCCGACCTTGGGATAGTACAGGCCCTCAGGGCCTGATCTTGGACCAGTACCCAACGGGCAGGCCCAAACGGCATTATCGTTTGGGCCTGGCGGCGCTCTTGAGGCTGCCGCCCGCCGGTTGGGGCTGAACCGTCCATCT